TGGCCGCCCCCAGCCCCTCCTGCCAGCGCGCGGCCAAGCTGCGGGGTGCGGGCGGGCGGGCTCGTGGGCAGCAGTTCGACAGGAAGGTTCTCACCATCGCTCCCAGGGGTGCAAATAGGCTACGACTTTTTGGTTTTTACCAGCCCCTTCTGGACCAGGCAGCGATAGAATTCCTGAATGTATGTGTACACACACTTCCAATCCGGCTCGCGCATCCGGATCATGTCCTCCACGTCCAGCAACTGCGGACAATCTGCGTGCTTCCTGGGGGCAGGGGAGAGAGGGGGAAGCCAGTGACCGCAGCCCAGTCGGGGAGGGAGGGGGAAGAGAGAAAACAAGAGACACGTAGTCAGTGCACGTTCCCCGGGCCAGACGCTGCTCTGCTCCCGCATGCGGCGGGCGTGCGCGGTGCAGCGGGACGGGACGGGACAGGCACCGCCGCGCTCCAAGGCCATTCAGCGAGACCGGGGAGGGGGCTCTCAAGCACAGGCGCGGGAGGGCAGGGCGCGCGTGAGCAGCGTGGACAGGCGTGAGGTCCAGGGGGAAGGACAGAACGAGACAGGGGGGGAGTGACGTGTTCCGGCGCGCCGGGTGCTCGAGGAGCAGATTCCAGAGCGGAGCGGTACTCTATACAGCCAGTATAGAGACCGGGCCGGCAGGGCAGGGCACGAGCTGACCCTCCTGCCCAGCTCCGCTTGGAATTGCACGGCACAGCCCTGGTGCAGGAAGCTCGGGAGAAGGCGCTCACAAGAGCTGGAGGAGGAGGAAGGATGAGAGGCCACCTGGCTTCCAGGTTGGAGGGATCGATGGCTCTCTCAGTCCACGCACCGGTCCCAATTAAGGCAAAACGTAAATTAACAGGATCGCTGAGACCCAGGCACACGGCCGCCCGTTCCCGCTTGCTCCACTGAACAACCCCAGCACCAAGGGAGCTGGCGGGAGCTCCCAGCTCGCGCCACCACTCTGGGCACCAGCCCGCGGCCACGCRTGAGCACAGGGGCTCCTCGGAAAGCCACCCGGCCCTGCTCAGAGGCAGCAGCCAGCCGGGTGCTGGAGGAAGGAGGAGTGGGAGGGAGGAGAGACAGAAGGAAGGAGAGAGGGCCCGGCCTCCAGCCCTCCAGCTGGACGCGCTCCCGTCTCTCAGCACCCAGGAAAACCAGAAGCAAAAGGGGAAGGGAAAAGTCTCGAGAAGCTGCGACGGTGTCTGAGCCCTTCCRACCGTGACGGAGGCGCCCTGCACGTAGGCCCCCGGCCCTCCATCCGTCCCCCAGCTCTGTCGGGGCTGTGATCCCAAGCTCAATGCACTTAGCTATGGGGTGGGCGGCCCTGCACGCAGGAGGCTGCCCTCACGTTGGGTCTCCAGGGATGCCCGACCCAGGCCCAATGCCGCGGCGCCAGGATGGGCTGTGTCGGCCTCTTGGGGCTCGGCACAAAGAGGCTGCGCTCCCCGCGGCGTCAGCCTGACCCCAACCTCGTCGCACAGCGCGGCGAGGAGGCAGACAGGCCGCCGAGCCTGGGGCAGCGCCGGCGCTGCGCAGGGCTGCGGCTCCCGCCCGTGCCCGGCACCTCCTCGCCCAAGCAGCAAGAGGAAGAGCTGCCCGGGCAAGGGGGGAGGAAGGCTCACGGCCCGTCGGGTGCCGCGGAGGAGCTACGTACTCTGCAGAGGAGAAGGCCACCTCGAAGTTGTGGCGGCGGTTCTGGGGCGTGAGCTGGCTGTAGTCAAATGCCTCAGGGAAGAAGTTGTGCACCAAGGCACAGAAGGCCATGCCATCGCTCCAGCTGGACGAGAAGTTCTGGATGTCCACGTGCTGTGGGGCACGAGAGTTACGYGGAGGGAGAGAGACCGGCCCGGGCTGGCCAGCGATGGGGAGAAGGGGCAGCACTGACCTCATAGCCCCGGGTCTTGGCTCTGCACCAGTCCAGCAACATCTGCTTGATGCTGTTGGCGTTGGGGACGCCGAAGCTGGAGGAGCGCTGCACAGCGGTGCGCGACACGGCYGGGTTTGCAGGGCTGTGGGGAGGGAGCACGAGTGTCACTGCACGGCGCCGAGTCCCACGGCACGCGGTGCGGCCGCTCCTCACCTCCCACCCTCCTTCTGCAGCTTCTCCACCATGGCCTTGCGAGCCTGCGAGGTGGATGTCTTGGGCAGGCTCTGAGCCTTCAGCAGCTCCTTCTTCTTCTCAGCCTGGCGCCGCTCCAGCGCGGCCAGGCTGCTCTGTCTTGAGGTGCTCTCGTCCTCACGGTCGAAGATGCTGCAAGGGACACAGGCAAAGCCTCAGTGCTGATGGGGACAYGGCCCGGACAGGCGAGCCTGGACCCCTCAGCTCCTTCTCATCCCCAGCCCAGCGGCTCTGAGCTGCATCGCCGGCTCCTCCAGCGGCCCCACGTTGTGCGGGGACCCTTGGTGACAGCCCTGCGTGGAGCACCACGGGCTGGGCACGGGGATGGCCAGAATCCCTTTCTCCAGCGGTCCCTGTGGGCCGGGAGCTGGGGCTCAGCCACTCACCTGCCCGTCTTCTTGGAAGAGGAGCTGTAGGACGATTTGGTTTGAACAAACGTGCTGCTGCCATCTGCAGAGACAGCGAGAGGGAGAGCGGCGTCACGCGGGGGCACGGCGGCACCGACGCCGCGGGGACGGGGCAGCACAGGCTCTTACTGTCTTGTCTCTTCACGTAACTCGACTCCATGGTTGTCGTACGGGAGGTCTTGCTGCCGTCATCTGCGGGGAGAAGGCAAAGGGGGGTYGGTTAGGGCTGGGCGCTCAGATGTGCCCAGGCATCCACATGGGGAGGGAGGAAGGGAGGGATGGAGGRAGGGATGGAGGGATGGGCACAGCTGTGTCCCGGGCAGGTACAGGGCAGACACGGAGGCAGGAGGCAGCCCAGGCAGCAGAGCAGAGCAGAGAGGCCAGCGGGAAGCAGCGGAGGGGCAGAAGGGCCAGGGCTGCCCTCGGCTGCAGACGGCACCTCMCAGCTCGAGCCAGCCAGCACCTGCAAGGGCTTGGAGACCAGAAGGGGCAGGTGACTGGAGAGTGTCCCGAGGAGCACACAAGGCCTGTGCCCACACTGAGGTGGGTACAGATGAGGTGGGAAGGGTCAGCGCCCTGATGAGCTGTGACAGCTCCAAGGAGACCCTGCTCCTTCCTGACGCAGAGGGACGGCCCTGAACCAGGATCCTGCTATCTCTGGGTTGCCTCTGAAGGTGTAGCTGCACCCACACCACTACCTCCCTCCACAGGGAGGGCAGGGCAAGGGCCTTGGGCCTTTGGGTCGGACTGATGTTGGCAATACCCGGGCTCCCTGAAGACACTGCAGCCAGGGCCTGGGTGAGGGGAAAGCAGCAGCAGAAGCAGGGCAGAGCCTTGGCAGGAGAGCGGGGGACGGGGAGCACATGGAGAGGAGCTGGGGAGCTCCCAGGGGGACAGGGAGCACATGGAGAGGAGCTGGGGAGCTCCCGGGGGGACGGGGAGCGCGTGGAGAGGAGCTGGGGAGCTCCCGGGGGACGGGGAGCGCGTGGAGAGGAGCTGGGGAGCTCCCGGGGGGACGGGGAGCACGTGGAGAGGAGCTGGGGAGCTCCCGGGGGGACGGGGAGCACGTGGAGAGGAGCCGCCAGCCCCGCGCTCTGCCAGCCCTGCCCTTACTGGAGTGCATCAGGCGCTCGGTTTTGGTGAGGGTGCTGCGGGCCGAGCCGTCGGCCGACTGGCTGCTCCGCGTCGTGGTGCTCTCGGTGCTGTGGCCGGCCCGCGCAGCCGCCGCCTGGCTCTTGAGCTCCTGCATCTGCTGGTTCCGCTCCTTCTCCCGCTGCTCTGCAGAGAGAGGCGCCCGGCRGCGTCGGCCACGACACGCAGGCGACGGACACTTCGCAGCCCTCCTGGAGGGCCCTACGCGCTGGCACCAGGCCAGGCCACGGGACGGAGGGTGCCCGCAGAGCCAGGGCTGTAGCACCAGACACAAACAGTCCCCTTCTCGTCCTCACCAGCATGCACCTGCCCAGGTCCCCGTCAAGCCCCCTGTGCAACACTGCTGCAACCGGCAGCTGTGTCGCCGACATCCTCCGGAGCAAGCAGGCCCTGCTGCGCCGCCCGGGGCGGCCTCCGACCCTCCCTGCGGCCCTCGTGCCACCCCGCAGCAGCAGCGGCCGCTACCTCGCTTGCGCTGCCGCAGATCCCGCAGCGCAGTCCGGATCAGCCGCCGCTCCTCGAAGTCCATCGTCTGATCCAGCTGTGGAGGAGATGGAAGTTAATGTCTCCCCCGCTCACCCAGCTTTGCTGTGGGCCCCAACACAGAATCCCAGAAGCGTTGAGCTTGGCGGGGACCCCTAAAAATCACCCAGTACAGCCCCTGCTCCAGCAGGGACACCCAGAGCACTGGGCACCCGGGTGCATCCAGATGTGATGGGAAGATCCCCGGAGAAGGAGCCTCCGCAGCCTCCCAGGGCAGCCTGGGCCAGGGCTCGGGCAGCCTCACAGTGCAGAAGTTCTTCCTCGTGYGCACATGGAGCTGCCTGGGTTTCGACTTGTCCCCATTGCCCCTCGTCCTGTYACTGGCCACTGCTGACAAGAGCTTGGCCCCATCACCCTCCCCGTTGGGGCCCAGCCTGCTCCCCGTCCCGCTGCACCGCTCCGCAAGGAGGTACCATCTTATCCAGAACATCCTCGTCCTCGATCCTGCTCAGCTCCTCGGCACTCAGCTTGCTCCTCTTCTCCGGCTCCCTCGCTTGTGCTTTCTCGGTGCCGTTGGGAAGCTCCCGCTCCCGCCTCGGCGCGGGGGGCTGCTCCACCACCTCCGGCTCCATCTGCAGCGACAGCAGCGCACGGCTGAGCACCGCGCAGCTCAGCGCATGCGTCCGGGTGCCTCTTGCTGCCACCCGGGCAGGCAGACCCGCTGCGCGAGAGGAAAGCCGCAGGCAGCAGCAGCCTCGAGGCGCCCCACAGCCCCCGGCAGCCCCTCTGCTCCCCACAGCGAGGCCGCAGGTGCCCAGGCAGTCCAAGCTGGGCCATGCTGTGCCCGCCTCCCTGCAGCGGGCAAGACCTGTGTGCACCATTAGCAGCAGCAAGGGATTTGAGGGGGAATTAAGGGGCTTAGCAAGAAGAGGAGCTTGTGCAGAAGATCAGGAAGCCTTCCTGTCGTCTCCGCTCTGAAACTAGGCCAGCTCAGCGCCTGCGGCCGCAGCCAGGGCGCCAAGTCCCTTTCAGCGCGACCCACAAGCAATGCGCCCCAGGCAGCCAGCCAGGCCCGGAATAGGACAACAAAGGGCCGGGATGGGCCAAGCAGCCCCTCGCACGGCTGCCTCCGCGCTCCAAGCAGCCCCTCCACACAGCTGGCTCCGCGCTCCAAGCCTCCGCACGGCTGCCTCCGTGCTCCGGGCTGCCAAGCGCGTGGGCAGCGCCCCACGGGGCAGCGCCACAGAGCATGGAGCCAGGTGCCACAAGGAGGACGCAGCAAGGCAGCATCGCCCGTCCCATGGAGCTGCCCCAYGGAGCCGCCCCACGGAGGGCAGACAGTGCCACACGGTGCCACCCCAGCCGCACGGCAGCGATGCGGGGCAGCCGGGCCGCCCCGGCGCCGCTCCTGCCATCATCCCCCCGCAGCAGACACACACGCAGCTCGTCCCTGTGACAGCAGCGCTGCCTGTCCCCAGCTGCCGCCGGCGGCCCCAGGCTGCTCCCTGGGCCTCCTCGCTGTCCCGGGGGGCTCGGCCGCTCCGGGGGCTCCCCGGCGGGAGCGGGCGCAGCCGGTGGGGACGGGCAGGGCCAGCGCGTGGTGCCCGGTGCCAGGCAGGCCCTGCCGCGCTGCGCCGCCCGCCTGCACTCACACAGCTGCTGTTCCGGGACAGGGTGCAGGAGAAGGTGGGTGGGTGGGCGACGAGGCCGCCGGGCTCCTCGGTGCCCTCGGAACTCGCCCATGGGTCTTGCGCCTCCAGGGAGAGGGTGCTGAGGTGGTCGTCCTCACGCTGGGATAGCGACCCAGGCGGGCGGGTGGGCGCGCGGCGCTTCATGCTCCCCGCGCCGCCCGCGCCGTCCCCGCGAGCCGCGCGCGGCTCCTGCGCCAGCACCCGCAGCTCCAGCCCCAGTGCCCGCAGCGCGGCCGGGCCCCGCATGGCGCCCGCGGCCCCCGGCTCCACCTGTCCCGGCCCTTTATAGGGGCGCCCAGGGCACCACCCCGGCGCGGGAGGCTGGACACGGCTCGCCTGCGCCGCGTTGTTCTTATCGCGTTGCTCTTATCGCCGCGGGAGGCCCCGCGGGCCGGCAGAGGGGCGGCCCCGGCCGTGTGGGGCGCAYGGAGGGAGGCCTGGGGCCGCTGCGGGCGGGCAGTGCAGCAGGGCCCTGCTGCAGCCCCGCGAGCGCCCGGGCCGGCCCCAGCCCCAGTCCTGTGCCCCCCAGCCCTGGTAAAACACAGACCCTGCCTTACCCATCACTGCGGCCCCGGGGACACTGGGGGCACCTGGCCCGGTGTGTGGGGGCATGGGGGCACCCAGCTGCCCCGCGTGTCCGCAGGTGGAGTCCCAGCCCCAGGTGGGTGGCGCACGGAGGCGGCCTCGTCCCAGCGCCCACGCGCCCCTGTGGGCAGCGCCCCGGCCCCTGCACAGCGGGACAGACCCCTACCTGGCGGGACAGACCCCTACCTGGCGGGGCTGCAGGCACCTCCTCCTGCTCCTCCTGCTCCTGCTCCCTGCCCGCTCGGCTGCGTGTCCCGGGCCCCCGACCCGCACGCGGCCGCAGCGCTAATGCCTTAATGCGGGTGACGGCCGCAGGGGCCGGGCCTGCCTGAGCGCATTAGCGCCCGCACACCCTGGGCCGCGCTCGGCCCTTCCCCCGCGCCGGGCACTGCGGCTGCCCCGGCCCACGCGAGCCCGGCCCTGCAGGGTCCACGAGCGGCGCCTGCCCGGCGCGGCGCCCGCCCGCGCTCRCACTGCCCTACATGGCCAAGTGCAGCCGCCCGCCAGCGCCGCGCTCCTGCCCRGCTCCTCTCCCACACACGGAACACAGGGGTTTTCTTCCAGTTGCAGCCATGAATCCTCAGTCCCGCTAGGCAGGCACCTGCCTGCCCATGTCAGGAAAGGGAAAGCCGGGATGCTCCAGTGCCGGAGGCCTGGAAGGGGCTGTCCCATGGGCGAGCACCCCATCTTTGCATCCCAGATCCATCCCTGGGAGGGGAAGCGCAGGGACGGAGGGTAACAGGCTTCCCTGAGCCCCCAGGAYGTCCACAGGCAGAGCAGGAGGAGGGAAGGAGCCACATGAGGCTCCCCCTCCATCCACGGGCACAGCTCGGACCCCGCAACACTCCAGGGATGTGGGTCCCCTGCGGAGCCGCGGGGAGAAATCCCCTCGGTTCCCGGGAGCTGGGGAGCTCGTGTCCTTGGTGGGCACCAAGTGCCAGGCGCTCTCACCTTGGTGACATAGGTGCAGCTGCTGCTGGCGGTGCCGGCGGCGCTGGGCACGGTGGTGATGCGGATGGGAGCGCTCCTCAGCCCCAGGGTGAGTTCTGCGGCGGGAGGACGCAGCGATTGGGGGCGGCCGCGGGGCTGCCCGAGCGCCAGGCGCATCCTGCCCGCCCCGGCTCGCGCACGGACACAGCCCCAGCCGCCGCGGCCGCTTTATGGGGGCGGCTCTGCCCCCCGCCGGCACCCCCAGCCCTCCCTCTGCCACACAAGGGCACGTCCAGAGCCGTCCCGCGGGAGCCAAGACCTCCCGGGAGCAGCGCGGCCCCGCGGGAGGGCAGCGCCGCGGGGGGCCAATCGAGGCATCGCGATGCCATGAGGTGCCAGCGCGAGCAGCCAGAGTCGGGACGCACGCGCTGCCCAACAGCAGAGCCGGCGCGGGACAGGATGGGACAGCGCGGGACAGGACGGGACAGCGCGGGACAAGACAAGATGGGCTTCACGGGGAAGGCAAGTCTGTGGGGACGGGGCTCCGCGTGGGATGGGGACAATGTTTGGGGCTGGTGGCTTCGTGCTGGGCACACAGGTGCCCTGGGCCGGCTCATGGGCTCTGCCAGGCAGGAACCCACYCAGTGCCTGCACCCACGTTCAGCCTTCAGGCCACCCATGTCCAGCTCCCATGTGTGCCCACCTCCCCACTGCTCCTATATGTCCCATGGGTGCCCACCTCCCTGCTGCTGCCTACGTGTCCCATGGCTATCCACCTCCTCGCTGCTCCTATATGTCCCATGGGTACCCACCTCGCTGTGGCTGCTAAGTGTCCCCTTGGTGCCCATCTCCTCACTGCTCCTATACGTCCCAGGGGTGCCCACCTCCCACTGCCACCCTCTACCTGCTTTGACACCTACTTGTCCTGCTGGTGCCCAGCACCCTGTTGGTTCCCCCCAGCCGCTGGCCCCGAGCACCACCTGGCACGGGTGACGGCCACCCCACAAGCACCCGACCGCGCGCCGCCGCTGAGGGCCACCTGCACGGGGACGTCCCCTGGCGCCCCCCGTCCCCAGACCCGTGCCCACCTGCCCGCTGGCTGCCGGGGGCCCCCACGACGCGGGTGCTGAGGGGCTGCACGCGCCCGTCCTTGATCTCGATGGTGAAGCAGGTCTTCATGGCGTCGGCGGCGGCGGGGCGGGCGCCGGCGGG